CGGTTGTATGTGCGGTGATGTAATGAATAATGACTCGGAATTGTTAATCGGAGAGCCGAGTTCGAATTCCAGTAACTTCATTCATTATAATAAACAGAAAAATGATTTCAAAGTGAAGATTTAAAATATGAAGTTGAATCAAAAATCTATTCTTTGAAAAAAAGAATTAAAATCGTTTGAAATTTTAAAAAAATATATTTTTGATAGATGATAAACAACATCTACTAAGATAATAACAAATGCTATATAATAATAAATGCAGTCAGTCAGTTATGTAACATGCATGATACACGCTTGGGCGATCATGTATCTTTCGATACATTATTGACTAGGCAGAATTTTTTCCCGCAGTGGGTTGCCATTTCTTTCTGCGGTAGACCAGTTGCCATCGAAGTCTATAGAACCCGGTCAGTCCTGCTATTTACGCATAGCTGGGGGAGGGATAGCCTTGGAGGAGGGGGGATTCATAAATATGCAGTACTAATGCTATATAAATGTATTATCTATATTATAATGAGTTCATAATAATCTGGCTTACGACCCTATCACGTTGAAACACCGGTTTTCATACAATCACCGAAATTAATCAACGTTGAAACTTGTCAATACCTAGATAGTTGGTGTCATGGATAATTTCGGAATTGCTAATCAGAGAGCTGAGTTCCAATTCCAGTTGGGTTCGTTATATTCACTTACGCACAAATACCCTTGGGAAATGTATAAGTCCACCCCTTCTCCCCGCAGCTATGGGTTAATTAGTAAGGCTTGTATCACTAAACTATTGTTATCTAAAAAAAAATCTTACAATCTGAAAATTATTTCTGGTTTTAAATAACCTGCAAATGAGTGGGTAAGCCGTAGTAAACGAAACGACACCGTGACGCTACTTGGTTACAGTGAGAAAATGAAAGAAGGGAAGATAAAAGGGTTTAACGTCTCCTTCAGTAAAATGGAAAAAATTGTCAATTTTAAATCTTTCATTTGTACCCACTTCTTAAAATAACGACCAGCATTCATACGATTCATACGATGGGATTTCTACGGATATTTTATTGTCGTAGAACTCGCCATGAGCTTATTCAATTATTAACTGAAGAATTAAGATTCATCAGAACATTCAAACAGGAAAACCGTGATATTTTCACGGGTTAAAACTAGTAACAATAATTGTACCTCTACTCAAATAATATCCTTCTAGTCAATCGTATATAGGAATTCTGACCAAATGAGATTTGTAACAAAGAACGGGCGGCATGATTAAAAACGAAATTTTCAAACGGAAGTTTTACAAGTTTACCCAATGTGACAGTGCTGAATAGATCGTGAAAGGGATATCTGGAGAGAGACTGTCTGTACTCTAATTGAATAGCAATCCATAGAGGCATGGACCCTGGATTTCAGAAGAGCCACAGACATGTGAAAATCCTCACCAGAAGAAAAATAAACGAATAATAAATGTTAAAGAGTTGAAGACAATTATCTCAAATATCAAGATGAATCAGACTCGATTGATTTGTTAGGGTCAGAGGACGGTCACACTTGAGTATCATATTGCGATAAGGATATTAGTCCAGATTCGGAGATTGGTATTGGTCAGTACAATAAGAAAAATGTTTGCCTCTTAGCGAACACGATCGTTTGAAACTGCTAAGCATGAACAAGCAAAAAATATTATCTCTCTCTCTCACACACAATCTTTCTCATTCCTTTACTCTCTCTGTCCTTTACTGACGAGTCAGTCAATTAAGTGCTGTAGAGAGGCCGTGGCTGTTATGTTGTTGATAGAAGTCAGATGTAGAAGAAACGCATGTACGTTTCAGATACTCCTGCTCGCCGGGCCCAACTACATAAAAGGGTTGGACTCTGATTAAGTCCAAAGAAGAAGGCAAAGAAAGCAAACCGATAATATATGTATATACAAATATATATTAATAACAAGTTACAATACATGGAAAGAGTACAAAGGATGAAGTGTATGGGAATATTCTGTATGTGCGTGCGTGTGTGCGTGAATATTCTGTATGTGTGTATTGTGCTTAGCGTGTTTCCACGCTATCCCTTGTTAGCGCCTACATTTCGAGGTTGTAAGCTGAAAGCCTGATGAAAAGGAGAGATTTACCTCAAGGTGTCGGCGCACAAGCCTGAAGGAAAAAGAGATAGAGGCGAAGAGTCAGCGGCTATTTATAGCAGCGAAGAGCGACCCTTGGTGAAAGGGTTAATGTACTAAAGGAGGAGTTAACTCCGACAGTGCCATACGTAATACACGCCTGGGTGATCTTGTCTCTTTCGATTCATGACTGACGAGGCAGAAGAATTTCCCGCTGGCGGTTGTTGTTACTTTCTTCGGTAGACTGGTTGTCAACCAGGATTATAGGAAACAGTCTGTCCTGTTAGTAACCCATAGCTGGAGGAAGAAGAGATGGATTCCTATCTTTCCCAAGTGTATTTACGTGTAGGTGAATGTAACGCGTAAATACTGACAAGAAGGATAGGATAGATTCTTATGAACAGAATAAGTATTCTTTGTAAGAAATCAGTTTGTAGATCAGGTTTCATTGGCGTATTTTTGTAAAGAGAGTCTTTGTCGAGAGGAAAAACCAAAGTGTTTTTTTTATTTATTTTTTTTATTTTTTTTTATTCCTTTCTAGCACGTTTGAAATTGTTTGAAAAGCGCGTTTTTTTTGGGGGTACTGACAAGAAAGGATAATATTGGTTTTTTCTTTTTCAGTTGAAAATCACAGAATTTGGAAATTCTTGTTAAATAATAGTCAGATTTTCATGAAATTTTCAGAAATTCAAAAATGAATTTATTTTTGTGTTTGTTTTTTAGAAAGTCATGGTTTTTTTACATCATTGGCGAAAACTAAATTTTTCTCTGCATTGTTTTTTAATTAAATGCAGAAGACTTTGTATAAATCTTTGTAAATCGAGAGGAAAAAAAATACCCCAAAAAACTAAGTTTTTTTTAAAAAAAGTTTTTTAATTTTTTATTTTTTTAAAAACATTTTTATCTGAAGCCAAAATTTTTTTTCGATGGAAAAGAATTTTTTTACCAGAATTGTTTGAAATATTTTAAAATTAAGTTTGAATATGCTTGAAATGTTCTTATTAAAAGTTTTTTTTACAGATCATAAATTTGAAAGCTTTTTTGGGGGGGCAATAATTTTTTTAATGTGTCAAAAAAATGTATTAAAAACGTTTCCGGTCGAAGCACAATTCAGTAATACCTTTTTTAGCATTGGTTTTTAAATTGCGTTGATTTCTTTTTTCTGACTAACCGACCAAATTGCATTTTCAAATTTTCATTTGGAAATTTCTTGCAAAAATTTGTTTTTTTTTTTTTGAAATAATAATTATTAATCTTTCAGATTTTTAGGGACAACAGTGAACTTTGGATTTTCAGAAAAAAAAAGGACCTTTAAAATTTAGACAAAAAATTTTTAAGAATTAAATTAAATAAGCTTTTAGAAAATGTTTGTTTTTTACGTTAAACGAAATTCACACTCATTATCACGTAAAATATTTTTTACAAAAATTAAGTAATCTGTTACATTAAATTGACCCTTAACTTTTGAAAAAGTTTAATGAATTTTAAAGACTGTTTAACATTAACACTTTTGTTTAAAATTGTCAAAAATGGCTGACATGCATTTTATGTAAATTTTGATGACTCTTTTTGGACATGCTTTAAAAAATTTTTAAAATACTAAATAACAAACATTTAGACGATAAAAATTTTTATCAAGTTTGGACTTTTTTCATCAGAATATAAATACCTATTGAAGTTTTTTTTCGGGTAGTCTCAAAGGAAAGTCGATAGTATTTCGTTTCTACATCTTCTTACAGTATATGTCAAACTTTAGCTAGTGAGGACAATTCTAAGTATTACTAAAAAGCCTCCTCCAAACCACAAGGCGAAAAAAAACAAGAATGACAAATTACTATGGTCATCGATTGGCTTCTGAAGTACAAATCTGAACAGCAAGATTGTAATGATTCTGTCCTTCAAATCGATATCTGTTATTAACTAAAAAAATCAGACGACATTGTTTAAAAAAAAAAAAAAAAAAAAAAAAAATTGTTATGATTGTAATGATTCTGTCCCTTGGATATAAGTTAGGTTAGGCAGACGAAGTTTAAAAAAAAAAAAAAAAAATTGTTACTTGGTTATTTATTTTAAATGAAACATTTTATTTAAAATTATTACCATATGCCGCAGACAATAGACAGTGTATTATTTAAACAAATCGTAAATAATCAACAATGTTTTTTATAGTCATCTATCACTTATTATTGCAAACTAAGTCTGTTCTTAACACCAAAACATGGATACTTTTTCCCGCAATGAAAACAAAAAAAAAAAAAATGACACCCTGGTTTAAATTTAAAAATAAAAAAAAAAAAAAAAAAAAAAACAGGAAATTATCAAATTCAAACGAAATTTTCAGGAAATATTCTTTATTTTACCCCCACCTTTTCGACATTGCATGTATACTTTTTAATTGGGGATGGGCCTCTAACTTTTTTCAGTTATATAAAAATAATTCCCTGAGTGATTTCAGTGAAAAAAATTATGCAATATCAAGTATTTTTTTAATGTTTAAATTTTTTTAGTATGTTTATACTAAAAAAATTAGTCCACATCTTGCTAAAAACAATTGAATAAAACTGAAAAAATAACTTTGAGGAATTGGTATTTGCATAATTTAATAAAAAGAATTTTTCAGTGTAATTTTAAAATTAAACCTGTTGCTGTTCGTCACAAGAGTTACTTTTTAAATAAAGAAACGTTAAAAGATTTTTTTTAAAAATGTAATGTTTATTACCATTTTTGAGTGTGAACCATTTACAAGATATTTTTTTCCTTTTAGCAGCTGTTAGAAAGAAAATAATTTTTACTACTATTCAATACCGGAGGAGTATAATTTCATATGTTCCACTCAGTATAAAAATAAAATTATTCCTTATACTTCCTATGTTTAATAAAAGCATATAGAATA